CTCCAGCACTAGCGTGGCCCCTCAGGACGCCGGGCACTTGAAGATCAAGACGGGTGCATGGGGCTGTGCTTTCGAGAATGTCATACCGACTCCGACCAAGAATGCGATGGACGAGGCGACTCCTGCTCTTTAACACCAGAGCGGAGAGATTGACCCTATGTAAGGATGTCGATTTAGCCCAACCCAGCGGCTTTGGGCTAAATAATTTAAGATGTTCGGTGCGCGCTAGGTGAGCTGATAATTGACTATCTGCAAGGACGATAGTGACCTAATTTGCAGCGAAAGAGTTCGCTGTCAAGTTGTGGCAATTTTAGGTGGTAAATAGTGTGCAGATGCTGCGGCTGCGAAGCAGGTGCACGTGATGCGTTAAAGTAGGGCATACAGTAAATGTTAGGTCAAACACGGTACTAAATGGAGTCGTCTGTGCTGAAAGTGGCGGGTTATCAAGTTGAACACTTTAGCTCTCACACACCACATCTTAATGTGCGTATACTTTGCGAGCTACACTGTCACTCTGCATGAGAAAAAGGGAGCTGTTAGCTGCTGTGAGTAACGAATGTTGGTTAAATTCATCGCCTTTATTCTGACTTTGTTACATGCTACAAATTTTGTAGTAATGAATATAAAAACCAAATTTTAAATTTCGGAGCTTCTCCGTGCAGTATGTTTTTTTTCGCTTTTTTGTGGAATAATTCCGTTGTGATGCCATCTTTATTCTCATATTTATTTAAGCTTGCTATCTGGCATTTAATGACATGGTGAAGTCCGGTGTCACTTTCGTAATGGCAAGTCGATAAGGCCACCTATGTGTTAATTTCCTAAAATGTCGGCAAAAAAAGGGTCGGAGGCTGCAAAAGGTAAACTTCTCAGCTACATTCTAATATATGCGCTTACAGAGTTTTTCCTTCACAAAACCAAAAAGATATTTTAAGTTTTTTGAGCCGGGTCATTTCATGTATGTGACCCGTAGCTGCCAAATGTTTCGTAGGCGAGTAGTACGGCGGCAGCAAAGCAGACGCAGGAGATGCGTGGGGTTAACAGAAGCAAAATAACGCCAAAAAAGTCATACTTTCGGAGCTTAAAAACCACATTTTTCGCAGTTGACTATCCTATCTATAAATGGAATAGTATTTTTAATTAAACGTTTACAATAACTTCTTCTTTTCATCTTAAATTACATGTTTAAACATCAGGCCTCATGTACCCCTCGCTTAATGAAATGCATTTTTTAATTTGAACTTTCACCGTTTCCCAACGACATCCCGGGCCAACAGCGTTCGTGGTCGGCTCATAACGTCATGGCCGATTTGCTACTCCGTGGCAATGCATCTCCTGCGCCTGCTTTGCAGCCGCAGTTTCTGCCCACGGAAATGCTTTATAAACTTAAGCTCTTTGGTACAATTTGCAAAACCATTATCAGTGGAGTGGGTCTTGCGTTTTCATTATTCGTTTTAGCAAATCAGCCGGCAATCAATCATACATGTAGCCGCTGAGGTGCTAGCCAGTAGCTTCCTCTAGCAGCTCGTTAGCACTGCTTGTCTTACAGTATAAATTCGGCGGCATAATTCCTCCTGAGTTCGATTGATTTATGTAACATACACGTATATATACATGTATTCCTCACTAATCTTTGACATGTATATTATGTGCTCTAGCTATCGCATGAAACATTTGATGTATAAGGAAGTTTAAAGTACATTTCTTGCCTGACCATTTTCTTGCCTGATCGAAATGCGCCATGTTAAAGTAAGCAAAAAACATTCATTATATAAATTAATCAATTTCGCTTTGTGGCAACCCTCCCAGCGATCGGTCAGGCGGTTGGTTGTCTACGAGGACTTAAACATCACTTCCAACAAAGACGAAGATAGCGAGGTGTTGGTGGACTCGATCTTCGCAGGTATCACTGCTGATATCGACGGGAGAAACTAAGGAGCGCCCAACTAAGGAGCGCCCAAACATAAATGGAGCACCATATACAGATTGCAAGATGTGCTTCAAGATCTTATTACTTCTTCAGAGGATATTTTTAAAAGAAGAACTTCACTTAATCTACAAATGCATAAAGCCTCTTTCCATCGGCTTGTCGTATTCTGTTGAGCACTGCGGCGCCGGTGACCAGAGTGAACACGGACATCCAACGAAGCTGGGTGGTTGTGGATGCGGCTACCGTCTCGAGTGTAAACGATTCTCCACGCCCCTTCAGTATTCTCTTTATCGACAGCGACGATCTTGATTCGCATGGGGCACCCCATTCGTTTTGACCCACGCATAGTTCGAACGCGATCTGCCTCTTCTAGATGGCGAGTGTTTTTTTATTTACCGCTTCGGTCGCATGCGAATAGTCGACTTCGAATTTTGCCATTTTGATTTTTCTCTACCTTTTGTCTCGGTACATCATAGCGCCTCGCCAACGTCCACTGATGAATTGCAGCTTCGGCTGCAGCTTCGGAGAAGTGGACAGCTTCAGGGGGCGGGTCGATATTAGTCTTGCGGCATTTGTGTCTAACGTGTGATGTGGTTGGTGTTGAATTTATTATTCTGAACAAGCCGATGGAAGGAGGCTTTATGCATTTGTAGATTAAGTGAAGTTCTTCTTTTAAATATATCCTCTGAAGAAGTAATAAGATCTTGAAGCACATCTTGCAATCTGCATATGGTGCTCCATTTATGTTTGGGCGCTCCTTAGTTGGGCGCTCCTTAGTTTCTCCCGATATCGACCTGATAAGCGCGCAACCGACTCGCATATAAGTAGGCGTCGGTTAATTTAGCGTAAGTAGCAGAGACACTTAAAGAGGTGGCTGTATTTGTGTCCAGTTGTGTACTGTACCGGTTGTAAAACTGCGTGCGGATGCTATCACTCCCTTAATTTGATCATTCTAAGATTGATGATCTGATCCGTTCGTTCTTTACAAGAGCCACATAAATATGATTACGATAATCCTTCACACTGTGACTCAACTTGAGTCGCTCAAAGTCTGAGGACCCCTGATCCGTCCCCGTTATTTCAAGGCAATGTAAATATTAATACTTTGAAGTACTGGTACGTGCTAATAGTATTTTTTTATACTTCGAAGTACGATACATGCACTTCGTCACCTTGTTTGAATCGCGATCATTGTGACAAAGCCAAAAATAACCTTAATTTTTTCTATCTACAGGTATTCCTTAGTGTTGTACCATGCATATATTTGAGAACCGGTATAATGACATAATTCAGTATTATAGAGTAGAAGTACAAACGTGTATACATGCTGCACTTAAGCTGGTGCTTAACATGACTAAAAAAGGGACTAATACAGCAAAAACATGGGGACGCTTTACAGTATAGACATTCCTCTCCCAAAAAGTGATTCCTCTAGGAGGTTGGAGTGCTCCCGCACAGTCACAATTCCAGATTGTTCTTAGTAAACAAATATTACTATAGAAAGGGTGAATACGTTTAGCAAACACATGCTTCTCCCAGTACCTAATTGAATGGGTTCGTTTGCGACTATCTCCTCTGGCGTGTTTAACAGCTCCTCTCTGGATATTAAGTATTTTGTGTGCAAGTGCGACACCTTCACGGCAAGCACATAGGTGATAATGTCCAATTATGGAACTCCATAGAACCCGTGTGCTTCCAGCAGATTACAAAGACGACTGCGGGTATGTATAAAATCTGAGAGCTTACGCTTTATATAAGGGCTTGGCGTACGCTTACGCCGTATCGATACTGCTTCGCAGTCGTGGCATAGTCCAATTGTACAAAAAAAACGATGCTTCGTACAGCTTTGGATTGTGATTCTGATAAAATGGCTCCCCGACGGTATCACTACAAAGAGGATTTTCTGTTCAGCAAAATCAACATCGATCTCCTGTAACACGCACCGCAGTTTTACACCATAGGCCACAAAACGAAAAGCACAGCGCACGTATTAAGCGTAAGGTGTATTTTACTATAAACAAAACGAGTCTTTCCGCTATACCCGGTGGCAGGAATAAAATATCGGATCCCGGAGTCTACAAACTTGTACGTACACTGTAATACTCATTGTACGATTGTGAGCGATGGTGATACCTAGTACAGTACTGACGTTGATCTGCAGTATCACTGATACTTGTACTCAATGAGTAGTACTCACTGAGTACTACTCACTCGGTGCAATTGCATTCCAAGCGCTTTTGACTCGTGAGGTTACCTTCACTTGACAATTTCCCCCCCAAGCCCACACCAAGTCGAACAATAGCCCGCTAGCCAACGATACGAGTTAATCATGCCCTGCTTCTGACCCTCGTCCTTTTCGCTTGCAGCGACGTTGTCATGAGTGACACTATCAAACAACAAGCACACGTATCCCCGGTGGCTTCGCTCGATGACATTAAGGTTATTATCAACAATCGAAGAAAGCTTCAAACAAGCGAGATGGCCGTCTCGGACGACGAAGAGAGAGGAGCGATCGACACCCTGCGCGCCAAGCTGATTGGGCCAGCCAACAAAGTGTTGACGTGGCTTAAGAGAAAGGAAGTCGCAGCTGCAGAGAAAGCGAAGACCAAGAAGCTTGTGGAATTTGTAAGAACTCAAGCCCGCTCCGAAAACCTGGACGATGCTGTGAGAAATTTGCAGAAGGAAGGCATCACTCATGGCCAGGTCAAGGAATGGCTAAGACTCGACAAGGAAAAGAATCAGTGGAAGTCTATGGACCGCAATAGCCCGCTCTATCTCCTGAGTACCAACTTTTTGACAAGCTCAGGGATGCAGCTGTAAAGCTCAACCGCGCAAACAACCAGTGAACGATATCACAGTTATCCATAGTTGGAGGAACTTTTCGCTCGCAGACCCTTCGCGACACGGGCGCCAAAACTACCAGCCCCTTTGAAAACAGCTACAACGTATCGTGGTACATGTAGAAGCTACAGCAAAAACCTGCAACAGCATCGTATTGGCGCTCGACTGTCGATTTTCATACCCAGAAGTTTACTTGCCTATCACAAAATACAAAAAAATAAATAAAACACTTCTAGACCGGCGGCAAGTTGCTTGCCTCGCGACGATTGTTTCTTCTTAGGAGCTGCATCTGTCGATTAAACTTCCTGGCATGACCATGTTGATCAATAACCGGTGTTTGAATGGGACTTGCACTGTTACCTCTTGCAGTACTAACTCCAGAAACACTCGGCCTCGTACTTCCAGCACTTGCACTTTTCGCGCGTGGCAGTGTGGAAGCAATCGAGCTGGAAACGATCTCATCGGATCCGTTGATTCGTCTGATGACGTGCTTCTCCGTGTTGACTGGAAGTAGATATCCCTGACTATCAGGTTCCTCCTCTCCATTGTCAGCTTCACTGTGAGGGTTCGAGCATGTGCTTCTGCTGCTGCTGCTGCCATTAATCGCGGCGGGTATAGACGCTCCAGTTGCCGACGTACACGTGAGGTCTTGAAAGCAGAGATTTGGGAGCCCTAGCGTCCGCATTTGCTTCTTCTCAAGTTGCGGGACCATTGACTGAGATGAGAGGATAGTTTTGAGTACGTACACCATCCACTTTTGTTCTTGCAGCGTATACCGCACACATTTTGCAGCCCCTCCAGACAGGAGGGTCGTCTCTTCACCGTGAACCTGCTCTAGAGTGCTGATACGACGAGAAAAGCGTCGAATTGCGGGTGTTATTGCTTCACCAACAGGCTCAAAAATTGAAATCTTCTCGCACTCGTAGCGTACTTGTTGTAGATCTTCATCGGTTTGTCGGAGTGTGGATAATAGACTGGGGACTAATTGACTACGTGCGTCGACGGTGGCCTCTTCTTCCACCACTAAGCGATGCAACGTAGCAGCGCAGATTCTTCCCAGCAGAGCGTAACTCGAGGCTATAGGTCGCAGCTTTGATCTAGAGCGTATCGTGCTCTGTTCTTTAGTCTTGACACGAGCCAACACTTCCAGCAGCGTTGAGACCACACCCAAACGCACCATCGCCACACGGAGCACTTTGATGGTACTCAAATTCGCGATAGCAGCGCTCGCTTCCATCAGAATCCGCTCACTGGCTTGGCCAGACTTGATCTCATCTTGGAAATACTTAATCCCGTGCAACATGTGTCGTTCTAGCATCAGACTCACGGGCGCATCGCGGTCGTATCCATTGGCATCTCCTGCCTGTACCTCTTTAACTTGATTTGAAGCCCCGTCACTTTGGTCCTCGCGCTTGTCATAAAACAGCATCTGGTGCTCAGTGACGCTGAGCGTGAGATTTCGGATAGTGACTGCGCCACACTCCCGAAGACTCAACTTTCTCGATACATTATTACCTCCACAAATACTGACAACAACATGGACAGCTTGGGTTTCACTGAGTTGCAGTTGAATAGGCTGGTGGGCAGATAGCAGCATCAGAACGTGGACACATTCGCGTGCTATCACTGTACTCGTAGCATGACGGCGATGGAGCAGCGAGCATAGGCTCACAGTGCGTTGTCGAAGTAGAGCCTCGGCACATCGTGGCTTCGTAGCGAGCGTATGCATTAAACTAGCGGTTAATTCACAGGCCTCAACATCAGAACCCATCGCTCGATACTCTAGAAGCGGAAGTAACCGTAAGATCGCTCTCTCTTCCATCACTAGCAACGCTAGAGCGTCATCGTGTGAAATACTATGCAAACATCTCAGAGCAGCCATATAAGTGCTCGCCCCTGTGTGCCCATGTTCGACCAATTCCGAGCTTGTCAGTTCCCACGAAATGGCTACCGATGGCGCAGTCTCCCCTTCGTTAGCTGTAGCGTCAAGCAGCACTATCACCGCTCGTATGACCTGCATTTCTCCAAAAAGGTGCAGAGAATCGATCACTAACGAGCAATTCGCAAGCGCCTCGACTGCGAATTGACGAGCTGCTGGGTGCTCGCATTCCATGCAGAAAATGAGCAGCTGCAGTATCTTGCGCTCACAAAGCATCTCGACCCACGGCTGACAGCAGCTCAAGTTCCTCAGAGCCATGGCAGCTGACACGCGCGACTCGATGTCTGCATCTGCGTAGCTGCAAATGATCTCAGTCACTTGTGCTCGAATGAGCTCCTTGTGGTTTCCTTCGTAGCTCGTCAAGTTGCAAATGATGGTAAGTGCCAGCCGTCTACTCTCCACGTTCAGATGCCCAGCTACACACTGTCTCTGCGGTTGTTTGTGCGGTTTCAAGTCGTCTTTGAACAAGAAAGACGTCCCAGAAGCCTTGTTCTTACCTCCGGAAAAGGACGTCTGTTGCTGGTGTTCCACTGCAGCTGACAGATACGCCATGATCCCGTTCGAGAGGAGCTTGGAATGATACTGGTGGTCACACGATAAGTTGAAAAGTGCGCGTAATCCAATGCTAAATACTTCATCAGTTGATGATGCCACCGCCGTTCCCAGTACAGTGGAACCACGGCGGTCCTCTGCTACAGTCGAGCCTGCCAATATCACCTGAGATAGCTTCATAAGGGCGTACAGAACTCCATCGTCGACGACTTTAGCTCTCGAATCCCCATGCGACAGTAAGTTCGACAGCGTCTTGGCGTGGATCTGCTTGGTCTGGATGGAGTTCGCCCGTAGTAAAGCTACCACGATAAAGTCCTTGAGTTCGGCAGAGGACCAGACACACGCCACTGTCGATACATTGCAAGCGGCAATAGCTGCATACTGCTGACACTCGACGTGACTGGATCGTCCCAGGCGATTGAATGCTCTTGCCAAGTGTTCACACTCCACAAGTTGCTGACATCCTTCAGCCGTAAATGAAGTGATGGCAAAGGCAGCTGAACAGGCCAGTAGAGCTTGGCATTCCTCGATGGAGTTGCAGCAGTTAATCAGCCCTCGAAGGATGCGCTGGTTGGCGGAGTTAGACGCACACAAGTGATACAGCGTAGCAGCACAGAAAGCCTGACTGACACTTCCTGTTGTAATGGAGTCTCCAGACCCGGACGGTAGTGCGGAAACTGCAATGAGCATCGCTTCGACCTCGTCCGACTGGATAAAGTGCTTGTGAGTGACGCGGTGTTGCGTTGCAGCTCGCGTCAACGCAAATAAAGCCGCAGAGGCGTAACACACAATCGGTAGCTGTCGTTGTAGCTGTAGACGCTGTGGATGTGATGTAGAAGCGCTCGAGAGTATCGACGTTGTCAGGTCCATATATGTTCGCAAGCAAGGAAGTACGAGCGCCACCACGAGTTCGATATTCGTACTGTCCATGAGTTCATTGGCGACGTGGAAAATTGAAGCCAGGAATCGTTCTCGATCGTCGTCAAATGCTAAATTCAACGCCTGGTACTGCTCCTTCTCCGTATTCAGCAAACTACTTGGCATTTGTAAAGCAGATATCTTGGCACCACCGTTGGCCACGGAAGGCTCGAAAAAATTGAAGCCATTGATTAACGCACGAATCACTTGGTCTCCGTACACAACTTGCTGTAGATATTTGTCGAATAGGAGATTTGAAATTACCAATGCGTAAATATACCGGAGTCTTCTCGAGTGCCCCGTGTCTTCTGCTGCTGCTGCTAAGAGTTTCCCATCTAACGTTCGAAGTAACTCATTACCACACGCCGCCTCTTGTGCGAGGCTTAGTAGCGTAACAAGCGCGTCTTCCTTCACATCTTCCGACATTTCTGCGGTCCACGGAAATGTCGTTGCGTAAGACGAGGTTAAGTACCAAACTGGATCAGCATCCGACAGATTCTGCAACATGATCCCACCGAGCGACGGAGTCGACGCTTCTCTCGTCACAACCTCCTCGTTCGACATGTTGCTTCGGGATACGGAAACGAGGTCGTCATATATTCCTTCAGCAACCACAACGGGGAGGACAATTAGGGCGTTGAGCATTGTAAGCACGTACGGGATCGGGATAATAACGGATCGACAGGTCGCTTCGAAGCTTAAGTTGCACAATGAGCGCACGGCATTACGCAGCAATACTCGAGCGTCTTGCGGCGCCACATATCGCTGATGGTCCATTAACGCCAGCTTCGTAGCCAGGTATATCAACTCGGGAGCGAAGTTTTGTCGTCGTAGCTCAGCGTTACTCGAGAAATTGACCAATGCTCTCGAACACGACACCGTCGTGCAGCGGAATCTGTCCACGTTTGTGACACTAGTGTTCAGGTTCCCCACGTCGCGCAAAGCGCCAGACAGCATCAAACTCAGCGACTTAATTCCATGAGATCCAACAGCATTGTGATACTCCACAAACGCTGAAAAATTAGCTAGTGTCTCGGCTGCCAAGCCCAGCAACTTCATACAAACGCCTAGATCAGAAGTCCACCCAGGTGCTTGAACGCCGGTATTGTACATAAATCTGGAGCTAGCCCCACCAGTGTTGCCATCCACGAGCTTGCAGAGTTGACTGACTACAGTGTACAGAATCTCAGCTCCTCCTGCACGTAGCGCACTCAAGCAACTGGCTCGGTACAGTGAGAGGTTGAACAGAGTTTCAATCGCAAACTGAGAGGTGGAAGGCGAAGCGGACAGCTGACTCACGACATTCAAGAGTCCAAGCGGACTTTGAACTGCATGCGGGTCCCCCAGGAATACCCGGTCTGGAAAGATATGGCCATGGAAAATGAGGTTCACAACACAAGTCACTGCTAGTTGTTGCAGAGGGATGTGCGGGGTAATAAGCATTGCCATGATCTCGGTGATCGCCTGATGACGAACTAATAGCGCGGCTCGGGCTCGGTTCTGTGACAATCGACAAAGTGCTGTGATGCAAGCAACTTTTACGTCGACCAGCGGTACCCAGCTTAGCTCCAGTAGTGTAGCTACGCCGTCTTTGGCCGTGAAATCTTCCAGAACTAATAAATCGGTGGTAATGTTGACGAGAACAGAGGCTGCATATCGCAGTAACTTCGGGTCATCTGCGTCACTAAAATCAGCAATTTGTGCGATCGCTCCACCTTCAATGATAGCAATTTCGCAGCCGGATTGACACGAGAGTTTGTAGAGGGAATATGCACATGTGAGTCTTGCGTCTAAATTGTGGATTGGACTGGAGATCACCGCCACGTCACGCGGTTTGACTTCGTACGGTCTGATGGTGGAGCTGGCATCGCCTCGGATGGAGTTGATTTGCTGGAAAGAGGCTTTGGAAATGGTACTGGCACTCTTGAAACCTGGACGCAAAGAAGGCTTCCTGGTTTGTGGCACTGACGAAGCGCCAATATCGATACGATTTAGTGACTCGAGTTCTTGGTCGAGATTTGAGAGATTGTTGCTAACCGTTTTAGCAAGATTTTCACTGGGTACATCATCCTTGAGTTTGGTTTGGATCCCTTCCATGAGTAAATCTACACCAGATTCCTCTAATCCAGACTCACTCGCTTGAAGCAGATATTTCCTTTCTGCAGGTCTCTGAATTCCTAGTGACTGTCTCGCACGAACAGCAAGGGCCAGAGCTCTAAGGCGTATTGCTGTGTTTGAAGGAGATTTCTCCTCTTCTATCACTGCTGTCGTGGACGCGCTCGACACTCGTCGATTGCCATTGGCTCGAGGTTTCTTTCGACCAGAGATCCCACTTGCGACAGCCGAACGCGCTGATTTTGCTGAGAGAGACTTTGAGTTTTGCTCTTCACCGTTGAGTACACTCGGTAGCTGCTCCCTTCTGTCCACGACACCTGCAGACAGCCGACGCATGAATACGCTTGCTCAAGTCGTTGGGCATCCACCACTTCTATATGAAGAATCTCAGACTTTTAGTATTAATAGCCGCAGTAAAGTGGATACGATTTTTTTAATTTTAGGGTCTGGGGTATCGGTATTTTTGCAAGGACATTTTTTGGACATAATGTTCTCTCGACCCAAACTTCTTATGCCCCAAACTCCCCTTCAGCACGTCATACGCCTGTTATATAAGATCTACATTGAATTGTCGTACCCCATAAAGTAGGCTATCTTCTCTAAATGTGCATAACCTGTCATTTCAGCTTGTATCAGTAACAGAAACATACTTTAATTAAGATGAATGGTAATGTATAACTAAATGTCCTATGTATCAGCGATGTTACCCAGGTGAATGTTGTTTGTTGCGACCAAGGGTAACATCACTGTAAGTTACGACTAACCGAAGTAATTTAATCCGCCTGAATGTTGTTCGAACAGACTTCAGCTGTGGGCAGCAGATGCGTACGATACCATACAGCCAATATCTCTCTTGTGATCGCGTATTTACAGGACTCCAGTAGCTTACAGTAATGTGTCAATGAGGAACACATGGGAACTACAGTATAAATCCTCGTAGGCATTACATAGAACAAATTGACAAGTACGTACACTTTAAGTATACTGTGATCTTTCCTCACCGGATCGAATGCCGTCTGAACAACAGAAAGCAAAAATCAAACTGAATTCACAAACCTTTAGCTACTGCTGGGCCTCACACAACGCCTGGGGCCCGTTCCCGCTACGAGGGACTTCTCTACTTCAAGTGACGACAGCGTCGCCGCCTATACACGGCAGGCGTCCGACCAGGACTCCGGAAGTGTCCAGAACAACCAGCACCTAGAGTATACAGTGTACATGCACTGGCACTGTATACAGCCAGATCACTTCCCCCCTCGCGTCGTGTGTGGGTGCATCAGTGCGTCTGGTGATCATGGTCTGCCGGGACGCCTTCCACGTGGAAGGCGTCGGGGAACGACTGGTGCCGGTGGCGCGACCAGGCTAAGCGCCGTCGCCATGCTAGCACGAGCCCGATCTTGAGGCACAGCATCAACAAACTTTTGGAACAGCACAGGCACATCGTGCTTGATGGTCTCGGCAGGTTCCCATGAGGCCTCGATTTCATCGAGACCGATCCATTTGACTTGGACCTCCCATCTGTGGGTCGCCGGGCTGAGGCGGCAGGAAAGTAACGCGTCCACCAAGTGCCCACCTTCGCCATGGATCGCTTGTTCAATCATGTCTTCGACTGCGCCACGTTAAGATTCTCGATACAGCTGTAGGCGCGAGGCGTGACGTAACGTAACAGTAAACGGTGCAACCAAATCCTGCACCTCAAAGGTGTAGTCGTTGATGGCGTGGACGATTCGTTTCGGTCCACGCCAGATCCGCGAAAGTTTGTTGCCGCTGGTTCCAGTCGTCGTTGCTGCCAACACGTAGTCACCGACGCTGAAACGTTGGAGTTTCACTCTTTTCTTCTTAGCATGACGCTGCCGCGCCGCACGCCGCCGCTTCTCGCAGGCACTCGTCAGCTCGTGGTGCATTCCGTCGAGTGAATCTCGGACACCTTCGATGTACTTCTTGAGCTCAGCGTCGACCCATTCTAAGCTCGCTTCAATAGCTTCACGAGGGTGGAGGATACCGCGGAGCTGGGAACCCCCAGGTAGCGCTGTGAACGCCGTGAGCGGGCAGACACCGCCTAGACGGTCCGCCGGCATCCCATTTAAGGCCGCCTGCACCACCGGAAGCAGACTTGGCCAATCGATTACTAGGAGCTTCCTTTCACTTGCTAACGCCTTCACGCAGCGGAGGACCTCTCGGCTTACCACCTCCACGGTGCCATTGGCCCAGGGGGTGTACGCCGTCGTGAAGTGATGCTGAGCGCCCAGAGCACGCTGGAGCCGCTCCACCACTTGGTTCTTGAAATGGGGTCCCTGATCGGAAACCCACTGCGAGACAACGCCGAACCGCTTGAACCAATCCATTAAGCTTTCGTAGACTTGGTCACTCGTGGCTGCGACGCATGCCACGAGTTCCACGAGCCCGGACATGCCGTCCTTCAGTACTAATACATACTTGACTCCGCCGACCGCCTCGACCATGGATAGAAAATCGAAATGAAGCAACTCGTTCGGCTTTGTTGCACGTAGGGTCTCACCATACGGACGAGGGATCTTCCCAGTGACTGTGGTCATGCAATGCAAACAGCCATTAACAAAGGACGCCACATCTTGAGCTCTCGTCGTCCAAGCGAAGAGATCCGACAACGACTTAGCTGTGGTGGTCGCGCCACGATGACCACTTGCGCCTGCGTGTGCCACTACACACAGACGCTGTTGCAACTCAACAGCATCATCAGAGATCCACAGACGACCGTCTGGGTCGACGACAACTTGGCGTTCCTCGTTGAACGTCAGATTCGCTGGCAACCCGCCCGCCGCGCACGCTGCATCTTGAACGCGTTTAATTTCGGCCTCGATCGGCCACACGAACTCAGGTGCTTCCAACGGCGAGACGCGGTCAACGACCGCTAGTCGCGACACTCGCATTGCGCCTCGGGCGTCCCTGGATGAAGGTCCCGCGCCCCATCGACTGAGAAGGTCGCCCCAGGCATTCACCTCGCCCGGGACATGCTCGATTACGTACTTGAATGACATTAGGGACAGAGCCCATCGCTGGAGTTTGTCCGCTTGATACCGCGCCATTGCTCCATCCGTACCCAAAGGGTTGAAGATATGCACCAAATTACGATGGTCGGTATAGAGATGAAATCCTCCTGGTCTCATCAGCAAATACTCTAGGCGCCGGGTTGCCTCAACAATCGCGAACGCTTCCTTCTCAATTGTCGGCCAGCGACTAGCTGCGCCTACGAATCGGCCGCCTCAGGAACGCGAGCGGACGGTGATTCTGTTCTGCAAGCGGTAGCTGGAGCTCCTCCGGCTCCAGCTGGGTAGCCACCGCCCCCCCAGTAATCGTGACTCGCGTCCGTGTAGAGACACACCTCGGCCTTCGCGCGCGGGTGAGCCAACGGCACCATCTTGAGCAGCGCCTGCCGGACCGTTGTGAGGGCAGCTACATCTTCGTCACACCACCCGACGTCGGCCAACAGGAGCTTCGACAACTTCGCCTTCTTGCGGGATCCAGCCACAGCCATAGCGCGCTCCAGGACCGCTGACAGCCGCGCCGTCAGGCGGTTATATTCGGGAATGCCCTGACGCATCCAATTCACCGCACATAAGAACTGCTGCAGGTCGCCAGCCGTCGTTGGTGCTTGCATGTCGACCAGTCCCTGTACCCGTTCTGGGCAGTGGCGCACACCATCTGCCGAAAACAGCTTGCCGCACCACTTGGCTTACTTCGTGAAGAACCGGCACTTCTTCGCATGCAGCTTCAATCCGAAGTGTTCACACCGCCCTAATACCTTATCCAACAGCACGAGCAAGTCGTCCTCGGTCTTGGCGTAGCCTAAGATGTGATCGAGCCAGGCGAGTATTCCCTTACCGAGGAGATAGCCGAATATCTCTTCGACGACCCACTGGCAATACGCCACTGCATCTGTTGCCCCCATGGGCACGCGTCTGGGTGTATACACGCCGCGGTGCGTTACAAATGAGTACAGTTCCTGTGAGGCCTCGTGCAGCGGGAGCTGCCAGTATCCACGAAACCAGTCGAGCAAGAAGAAGAACCCGTATCCTTCCAGCTCACCCACAACCACCTCCAGGACCGGCATTGGCCAGGGCATCGGCTCCGTTTGGTCGTTCGCCGCCCGAGTATCAACGGTCATTCTTGGATCAGCATTTGGGTCGATGTCCTGCTCCTTTTTACGCACGATTCTCGGCGCCGAGCACCACACGGATCGATGGTTCATGTAGATAACGCCAGCTTCCTCCAGCGTGGACGTGTGACGGTCGAGGAACAGCCGATCATTCGGCGAATATCGACGAGGTTGGCACTTAACCGGCTTAGCATTGGGCTTCAAGCGCACTTGCAATGGCGCGACCTTCACGGGAGGATCGTAGCCGAACGCCAGTCGAAAGTTGTCTGCGCGCACGGCCAAGATTGCCCTAAGCTTTATCTGTCCCGGTGCTGATAAGCCAGACGTGGCCGCAAGTCGCTGCGACTCTTCGAGTTGGTCAATGACGGCCTGTAACGCCGACAGCTTCATATCCGGAACGCCGTTCGCGACTCGTACCGGTCGACATCATCGTCAGCCTGCGTCTCAACCACGGGATCCCGCGCGGCCAACTGCACTCGGCTCATACGCTGCAGCGCCGATGGCTCCACGTCAGCTCTCGTCTCCATTTTTGAGACAACCCCCTCGAGTTCCCACTCAGGCTGCACATTCCTCGCGTTAGCCAATAGAGTATCCGTCGAGTAGCCGAGCGTCTGCATAACCGGCCGACTGACCGTCAACTCGAGCTCTTGGTTCCCTTCTTCAATCCAACATAGTAAATTCCTAAGCATGAGCGGCCCGGCCGTGGTGCTGAGCAACACCTCAGCAAACTTGACAGCTCGTGACGCGGTAACACGACGGCCACCGACGGGCAATAGGTCGCGGGCTTGGATGGATTCAATCTGAGGCGAGGCTCCTCGAAGACCAAGCGCGTTGATTACTCCACTGG